TAAAAACAAAAACAAGATTAAAGCAAAGCAAAGAGCTGATCAAGGCAAATTTAAACGCTTTACTTATACAAGGGCAAAGGTGAAGCGGAATTTGTACTAGATAAAGAAAAAAATAAACGCAAAGGTAAAAATTTAAATAAATATAAGGAAAAATATGAGGCTGAGGATAACGATAAAAGTAAAGATAAATATAAAGGAAAAAGATTAAGATAAATTAATTATAAAGAAAAGGATATACAGTCAGCGTCAAAAATATGAATACTGCTTTCCTTTGATTAAATTTTCCATACCAATTTTTTTTTAATGTTTTTATAAAAATATAGTTCATTCTACAGCAAAAACCAACAGAATCAATTTTTTCAATTTCATATTGAACTCAGGAAAATTCAAGAAATACCAAAAATTTTCATCAAAATTTTCCACTTTTCAGTTCGATTTCTTAAGGTGTCCCGAATTTATGTGTGGTGGGTTTAGGTGAGATGTGGTGAGTTTGGGGGTGGTAAATTTACCTCCTTCCATTTCATCTCACCTCAGCTCAGCGTTGAAAATCGTAAATAAATTTGATTTCTTGAATTGTGATTAGATCTGTATAAATACAATCATGAAACCCCTTTATGTTATAATGTCTTTTTTCTTTTGAAAAAATTCCGTCTTTGCGGGGGAGAGAACTCGATATTCTTCGGCCAGCAATGGCAAAACTATTTTCCAATGCCAATTTCTTGTCTACTGGGTACGATGTAAGCAAATTAACTTGTTTCTGCCAACTAAACAAATATGGCATTCTGGATCGGCCACTGGCAATCGGAAAATACTATATATCGAAATATACGACTTTTGGTTGGTATGTGTGTATGCATTTAGGCCTCTTGAGCATCTGATAGCCAACCACTTTAAGCGACAAATGAACATCTTCGATTGCATTAGCGGTAATTGTGTACATTTGGTGTGCGGCTGCTGCAGCGTACGACGACTGCCACAACTGCTTCCCCCATAATTAGTCATATTTGTTTAGCCGTGATAAGCAATGAATGAATGAATGAATGAATGTGCGTACATATATGGTCAATGTGATTGCAGCTAGCAACGCTGCGCTGGTGGGAACAACAATATGCATTTAAGGCTTAGCTGTGCAGCGGCCGGTTGGTGCAGCAGCTGTTGCAAGCGTAGCTAAAATCTATGCAAAAAGTAACAAAGTAATTCTTCTCTTATACATTATGCGATTCTTTTAGTTTTAAGCTTTACATATTTGCTAGGTAAGCCCGTTGTGTTTCGCCGAGTGCGTCGACGTCGCACTAAAGATAGTTAATAGATTTTATAATAATGCGCCGTCGCCTGCCTTCTTTCGCTAATAAATCTAACTTTCACTTTCAATTAGCAAATTTGTCATAAGTAACAGAAGCGTGTACAAATTTGTAGAAAAGCTTTGATGTTCTTTTTGGTCTGCACACTTTCGTACACACTTACTTTTGTACATACATACTTACGCATATTTGCATATCAAATACGTGCAGACTTTCGTATTTCTCTGTGAACAGCGCGTCCAGCTACAAGCACCCAATGCGGCAACGGTAATTTTCATTTCCACTTTTTTTTTAACGTTTTAACATTTCCTAAACAGTTGCAAGAAAAAAATTGTTAATTAATTATTATTTTTCGAATCTCACCCTGCAATCACCTTATTACTCGTATGTACATGAAACCTTTGGAATTTATTTATGGCTGGTTACTTTCGTTGTCTGTTGCCAAAAATCATAAAAAATCGTTTTGTAAATTTGTACGTGTTTTATATTTTTATTTTCTTTTTTGAAGTATTTTCAACATTTTTTTTTATACAATATTCCTCGAAAGTGCAAAGAAAGGAATAGAAAAATTACGCATTCTTCTCAGCTAAATTGTGGCGCGTATTTTCACTTGTCACCCGTACTTACATAGGGCCGCTAGCTAGCTAGACCGCCGCTATTGGTTTCGCTCATTTTGTATGCGTTGGCGCGCTTGCTTTGGATTAATGAGTCAAAACGCAGGTAGTAAGTAGTTAGTTACAATTGTAGCGGCTGAGGGCGCGCAATGACGGACAGTCAGGTGGCAAATGGCCAACAACTTGCGCTTGTTTCTAACCTAAATGCAGTGCGTGCTCTCGCTTTTTCACTTTTTGTTAAAGCGAGGCATTGTGAAAATTTAAAACCAATGAAGCCAAGTTCAAGTTATTGCAAACAGTTAAGAACTCCAAGCAAGGAAGGTAAGTGAAGAAATGATGGATGTGGGCTAAAAACGTATAGACGGCCTGCAACGAAGACGACGGCTCTTTCGGATCACACATCTGACACCGAATTCGCGCTCCTTCACTTGGCAACTCTAGTAGACGTTGCACGGCTCAACATTAGGGCGCACCACCTTATAAGAATTTTGTTTTGGCCGAACCTAGGTGTCGCTGTCTTAAAAGTTCTTTAATTTACTCACATTACAGCGGTACGTTAAGGCGGTACGAACTCAGATCTGGCCCTTAAGGTCAATAAACTTTGGTGCAAAAAATTGCCTCCTCGAGGAAAAAACGTCGATATATCATTGGTTGGTTGGTTGCAGTGCTTCCTAGTCGCTGTCCAAGACACAATTAGCGCACTGTTGCGCCATTTTGATGTACTTATCGTGGGGGATATTTTGTCTATGCACATCCTATGTTGCTAGGTCGGGCCATTTCGATTCTCGAATGAATCTGCCGATTTCGCTTATGGTAGTTGTGCTACCAGGTGTTTTTCTAATGTTTTGTGTCTAATATTCGAAAGGCCGGGACATTCACAAAGTAAATGCTGGACACTTTCTTCGCTATCGTCTAGTTGGCAGCTGCGGAACATCTAATTATGGGGTAGACCTATTTTTGCCGCATGTTTGCCTATGGGCCAGTGCCCCGTGATGGTTGCTACAATTCTGATTACCTCTGGCCTTGATCTGCCACGCAGGTCCAAGATTTTCGTCCTGTTGTAAGTCAGGCCATAGTTTTCTTGATATCTTACAAGTCTGTATATCTGACCACTTGCGTCTAGCTAGTTTAAGGAAATGCGAAGTAATCTCTTTTTGGACTATTCCAAGGGGCCACCCAGTGCCACCACTTCAGATTCATTCAAACCGGCGCCTGCCCTCACCAGCTCATCGGCCGTCTCATTGCCTTCTGTGTTCCTATGTACGAGAATCCAGACAAAAGAGACGGTAGTTGACTGAGTCACTGAGCAAAGCATCACTTCATTGCCTAACTAGCTTGGTTTTGGGTACACGACTCGGATTTACGGGCTTCAAGGATCCCTAAAACTTTCACTTGGAAGATGTTTGTATCATTTTCCATTCGCATAGACAGAGGAACACCGAGTAGACTCCCGTTCCCGCAACGAAATCCATTTTAGACCCCTCGGTGTACAGAGAGATCGCGTCTCGGTATTTTATCCAGTCCCTTCTGGATGGAAATAACACTTGCATGATACAGCTGAAGTCCTACTATATAGTCTATCGTCCTACTTAATTGCATTTGATTTATGAGCAACCCATGTCCGTAGTGCCTAGTCCTCCAAAGGCCTGACTCTGTGAGTCTGACCGCCGATTTCATAGTCACTTCTTTCATGTGGAGATCAATAGGGATTAAATTGAGGATAGCATTTAGCGCTTCGGCCGGGCAGGATCTTTGTGCACCTGCTACTCCTCCGCTTGTTGCCCTTAGTATGCTTCTTAGTTTGCTGACATTATATTGTTTGCTTAGTTCGGGCCACCAGACAAATACGCCGTATGTTAGGATTGGTCTTATGATCGCAGTATACCTCCACATCACAAGTTAAGGTTTTAGTCCCCTTCTGCCTACGAAATTCGATATTGATTTTCCAATTAAGATTGCTATCCAACACGACTCCAAGATACTTTACGCTGGGGGATAATGAGTGTCTTCCGACTTTGGTTTGAATTGTGGTATCTTATTTCTGTTTGCAAATTAGCAGTGTTGCGAGCACACCGCCCAATATTTTGCTGTTTCATGGTTTTTCCTTACTGGCTTGAGTATAAATACGACTTTTACCCTTCTCAAGCTAGGAATGGAATGTAGAACAAGGGTATAGTAGCCTTAACATTAGTTTATAGGAATGGTGCTATCTCCGCCTTGACCCTCTGAAGCATTGCTGGGATTTCTGGTACAGGGGATTTGAAGGAAAGGAAGCTGTTGATAGCGCAATCAATTCTTTCGTAGCTCAAGATCGAGTTCAACAGTCTACTGCTTGAAGAACCAGGTTCGATTGACCCTGACGTGGATGGATGTCGAATACATCCCGGGAAATGAAACTTGACTAACGTGTTTAAAGAACCACTAGCTGTATTCGTCCCCATTTTCCCCCTTAATGAGTGTGATATTGGTGTGTTCTTTCGATAGGATATTTGAGTCTTTAGATTTCTCTATGGAAGAACAGTATGATTGACAGGATTTAGTTTTAGATTTTCTCACTTCTTTTCTCTATGATCTAAGGGCGCTTTTATAAGGCGCCCAGTGCCTAGTTCTAAGGCAATCATTGAAGATGTTCCAAATTTTATGTATTTGCGATCTGAGATCCTCAATCCATCAGGGTGAGGATTTCTTTCTTCGGTACTCACTGGAGTTCAGCTTTCAAAGGTTTTCTTCATAACTTCTGCTTGTAGTGACAATTGTGTTTAAGGGACCCTTACTTAGTTTACGCTTAAGTGCAACACACATACATCTTTCAAAATTAGTCCTGTGGGGGTTTCTGTATTTTAAGGGGGTGTTGGAAATTCCGTGAAGATTAAAGGGGATCAGACGGTGATCAGACATTGAAGGCCTATCAGATACTCTCCACTCTTCTACAGACACGCTGTCGTTCTCTGACAACTGCGTTAGATCCAGTACCTCCTCTCGTCCAGGAAACCGGTTTTAACTCGGGGGAATACAAAGGTAGGTGTATTACCGCTATTGCAGATGCTTACGTTACTATTTAATAAGAAGTGTAATAGAGACTCACCTCGATCGTTCTCTGTAGTACTACGCCAGTCTGGACAACAATGATTTGTCTGGGGTTTTTGCCTATTATATCCTTGATTTTGGTTGGCGGCCTGTCCCTATAATGGCGGTCTCCAACGTAACAAGTGTTGTGTCTGCTGTGCTGAAATTAGAAATAAATTTGTATTTAAACCGTTCTTGACAAGAATACAGGCCGGCGATTTACCCACCTTGTTCTTATAGTAGACTCGGTAGCTCTTTATATTTCGTCCCATGACTGCCTCTTGCTTGACCCAAGACTCTTGTATTAGGCTAATGTCTATATCCTCCTCACTGAGGAAAACAACTAGATTATCTATGGCGCATTGTGAGTGCTGCAGCTTTATTTGGGCTAGTTTAACTCTCCGGTTTAGGGTCATCCGTCAGCTTCACACTCATGGGAAGCTCACCAGCTCCATAAACCCGCATTAGGGCCTTACGGATACCAAAGCGAAGCCGGTAGTCTGCATTTTCTAAGGCGTCTAAAGATTCCGCACAAATGGCTAGCATCATGGGCTTATTTGAAGGCCTTCTTGGCTCTTCAACCTTTATAAGCTCCCATTTCTCAACCGCAGGTATGTCTTTGTTCTGCAGCTTAATACACCGCAGCAACATTTCGCCTGGTTCGTCCATCGGTGGTAGCCAAATGCACCCACGTGGTCTCCTTGGAATATCTTTAGCTGGTATCAGCTTGAGCTTCATGCCGACAAAAGTGTCGCTGATCTTAGCGACGCATCCAGCAAGGAAGTCCAGGGAGAACTGGTCCGCGCACTTGACTACCCGGTATCCCCGTAGGGATTCCGATGAGTCGAACTCTGGGTGAGGACCCTCGGGGTTGTCGAGTACGTAGTTCATTACGAGGCTCGACAGCTTCACTTCAATCTCCACCCATTTCTGCTGGACTGCTATCGGTGTCCTGCTATTTTCGTCTATTATCGCCGACTGTAGGTGATCTCTGGCGACGTAACTAAAATTACGTTGCTTCAAGGGTGTTGCGGACTCCGAATCACCTGATCGCTTGGCCTTCTTTGTAAGGGCCCTATGGGCGCCCTCATTATGAGAAGGGTTCCGTTTTTTTGCTTCGGTGGCTGCACGATCTGTCTGCATCTTTTCGTACGCTTCCACTATTTGCATATACCTTGCCTTGTCTTTCTCGTCGCGCTCATGTACCGTACCGGCCGCTACATTTTCACCGATTTTTTCTAACATATACAGCGCCTTCTGGTACTTATGTTGCATGACTCCGCCCGAGGGTTTCCTCTTCTTAGTGGCGGGATTGCTGCCTGCAACGGTCGCCAATTTGCTACTTGTTGGTTGGTCATCCGGAGTACTACGGCAGGCACTTCCGGTGCTATCTTTGACTATTTGCAGAGTGGTGATACTTTGTCTGGCATCGGCCACCCTGCTGGTTTCTGGTGCTCGTACAACTGGGGTACTATGCCTGGCGCCACCAGGAGTACTTGCAACCATCTTACCTGTCTGCGGGGATTTGAGGAGCTGATCCTCTCTCTCTCTCTCTGACAGCGTAACGTCTTCGCCTTGCAGTCCGCTTGTACGCTGTTGACGTTGTTGCTGTTGTTGGTTTTGTTGTTGCTGTTCTTTTTGTTCTTTATCCATATGTGATCCCACGAGTAGGCCGGAAGGGTTTAGTCGCTCGTCCGCAGAGCCGGGATGCGAGGAGAAGGCACTTCTTACAACCGACCTTGCCCGGGCATCGGAGGGGACCGTTCACGACCAGCCATTGTTTTACTACCCGCTGGCCATTCAACCATCGGCACGGTTGCCTATACACCTTGGCTTGGGTAGTGTTGGTACGGTAATCCTGACATTTTCGCCTTCAGCAATACAAAAACACTCCAGCTTGGATTGTAAGGAATATTGCCGAAGGTTGCAATACCGGGCTTCCCTCTTAGTTCATGGAGGCATGATACAATTCACGCTGTGAATTATACCATAACACCATTTAAGCCCCCTCGCCACGGCAAGACGACCAACGCTGAGGAGGAGATATATCATACTTTAATATCCGAAAAATGCAAAAAGGCGAAATTTCCTTTCTAAACTTGCTTAGATTCCAAGGTGTACGGGGAACCTGTTTTCTGGTACGGTCTACTGCGTTTAATTTTTGGCTTTCCTCGTGCAGCGCATTGTTTGGATGACGGTAATGCCAGGTTAGATCTTCCGGAGCACATCGGCCAGCCGGCCAAAGGCACCCTTCCCATTGAGGTTACTGAGGGGCGCATCAGCTTGTCGATTCTTATCATCTCGCATGAGTGTAGGAAGGTACTCCGCTATCCAGCATTCGCAAAAAGTTGTCCTTCAGTTGACGGCCGACGCTCCACTGCAGGTGTATTACACAATTGTTGATTAGGTTGTAGTTAGTGACCACTATGAGAATACTTGAGTTGACGGCAACCTCATGGGGTGGTCCATTATATGACTATGTGAAGTGCCGTCGGGTCGAAAATGGCCGCCCCATGCGCTACTATTGATCAGTCTATCATGCTGTACAACCACCGCAGGATATAGGGGCTGCAATACCATGTTTTTCGAAGAGTTTTCTGCATTAAAGTTCTTGCAGTTTTAATGATGGCGTTTTCGTCGTGCTTCTTCCATAAAATTTTGCAGTCAAGGAAAACCTTTAGATATTTCTACGGGCCACATTTCTATCTCTATCCCTCGTACTGTTATAGGATGAATGACTTGAAGATGTCTCCTTCTGGTGAAAGCGATGATGGCTGTTTGGTTGATATGCAGACCAACTGTGCCGCACTATCTCATGGTAAGACTAAGTCGGCATATCCTTAGCACATTATGCCATTATTGGATACTTAGTATATCATGTCGTTTTGCGGTCTTCAGGTTTATGTTTTGGTTTCCTACTGCCATTTCCAACAGTCTGGTTCATAGCACTTTCACGATTCATCTACGGATTAGGGCAGCTCGCCCCTTTTCTCCATAGTTCTGCCGAACGCTGTGTGTAAGGTGTTATCATTTACTCCTTTAATGTCTAGAAAAAATGCTACCTCACCTCCACCGAGTGCATGCCGTATTTTAGGTTTTAACTGGAACCGTGCTCTACCCGCTGATCTTACTCGTGCGACAGGCGTATTGTACATGGTGTAACGGCATTATCATTAGGGAGACTGCGTAAAACATTCTCCATCGCCTTAAGGTCTAACGATATTAGGCTGATCGGATGAAAAGATGTCGCCAGAGTATAGGCTTTTTTGAATAGCTGGGCTAAGGCTCGCCTCCTCCCTTTTGGGAGATATTCCAACGCTAGAATTTGCCACTTGAAACTTGTTACTATCGAATGTTTTGTCCGGCTCAAAACGAACCTATTGCCCATCGTGCACACGACCAGGTAGACAGACGCTTTTCTACCTCTCAGTCTTCCGCGGTGACTTTGTATCTGTTGTCTATCGTCCATCGAAGTGACTTGTCACAAGAGCTAAATACCTTCCCTCCTCGCTTTTGGTGTAGCTGTTGTTTGGGAGTTTTATCGCTCTTTGGCTTTCAACTGTTCCTCACGCTTGTTCAGTCTGGTTGCTTCCGGTGTAGAGAAAATACCTTCACAAAATTTCCTAAAACTATCTCTTTGTTGTAGGAAAGCGGAAATCTAGATCTAGTGAGGCCACTATCTATTTCTGTTTTACTGTTTCATCAGTAGCCGGAACTTCAAATGAAAAGGTGTATGTACATATTTTATATGAAAAAAAAAACAATTTTTCGTAGAAATTGTATAGGATTCTTGAAAATCAATATTTTTCAATCGATAAAAAAACTCTGCTTCTCTTCAGAAGACTCTCAATAGTAATACCCAATTGTTTATTTTACCATTTTTAATACTAACGATTTTTTTACGGGTCCCCGAAAGTATCCTCAAGATAAACCGAGTTTTCCGATCGAAAAATATTGATTTTCAAGAATTTTATACAATTTCTACGAACATTTTTTCGCATATAAAATACATGGAAACGTTGATAGCAAACATTTTTTATTAATTTTTTATTCAAATATTGCTTGTATTTAGCGAATATCATATAAATCTTTATTTCAAACTTTGTACAAAAATTAGAATTCTGCAAAACTTCATCAAAAATTGCAAACTTTTCAATAAGAAGAAGAAATATCGAGTATGCAGTTTTATAAATTACACTGGTCTACAAATTTCAACTTTTTTTCTGCGAATAAGACGGGACCTGGTGTTTCTGAACGGATTTTTCGTGCTGAACACGAATCCGGGGTCAAAAATGTCCCATCACGTCACGTTTTCGAGAAAAAAGGGGTTGAAACCCCTAAAAACAGCGTTTTTGGCCATTTTCGAAAAATTATAGAGCTGAACCCTGACGTGGTACAAATTTTGCATATATCAGAAATTAAAGGCTAAACCGTGCCCTTTCGAATGAGCCCTATGCCGAATTGATCGCGTGCACCCTTAAAGCAGGGGGTGTATTTGTGTTTAGGGGTGCAGGAAAAATTGATCACAGAAAGAATTTAATCTTAAACGATCATAGAAAATTAATAATGCCAAGGTTTTAACTATATTAAAAGTCGCTGATTACGAATCTGCAGTTAGATTTTAAAAATTTAAGATGACGGGTCGAATATGGTGGATATAAAAATTTCAAATTTAATAATGTTCAATAAATTATGGTACGTAGGATTTTGAATTTTTAAAATCTAACTTCAGATTCGTAATCAGCGACTCTTAATGTAGTTAAGACCTTAGCATCATTCATTTTATATGGTCGTTTAAGATGAAATTCTTTCTGCGATCAATTTTCCCTGGACTCCTAGACACAAATACACCCCCTGATCTAAGGGTGCATGCGATTAATTCGGCATAGGGCTCATTCGAAAGGGCACGATTTAGCCTTTAATTTCTGACATATACAAAGTTTGTAGCACGTCAGGGTTCAGCTCTACAATTTTTCAAAAATGGCCAAAAACGCTGTTTTTAGGGGTTTCAACCCCTTTTTTCTCGAAAACGTGACGTGATGGGAAGTTTTGGACCCCAGATTCGTGTTCAGCACGAAAAATCCGTTCGGAAACACCAGGTCCCGTCTTATTCGCAAAACCCTTGTAGACCAGTGTTATTATTAGGTGCGTTCGACAAGTCAAAAATCAAATAGTTTTTCCAAATTTTTACTGGATGGCGTTCGATAACGACAAAAAATTATTCAACACACAAAAATTGAGAGAGCAAGCGTTCATTTTGATGCAAGAGAAGCGTTCACTTTGTACTGGCAAAATTTTAGTCAGCAAAAATTATCCAACACGAAAACATATGAGGAGTGTACTCGTACGCCCAACTATCTAAAGTTTTAGAAAACTTTTACTGGTTTTGCGTTCTCGTACCCAAAAAACTTGCAAAGTAGGGGAAATTGAGAGAGCAAAATGTGAAAGAGAGCTGCAAATTTCTGCTGGAAAAATTTTTCCCAGCTAAAACTTGCAAGTAAGAAAATCAGCTGATCACAAACACATATTTGTAAATAAACAAAAGAAAATATGGCCTTTTTGATTTATATATTGCAAATTTTATTATTAATGCTAGTATACAACTAAAAATGCGTAAATTTAATAAGCACAACGTTTGTTAAGTATACTTTTCGTTAGTTTGCTATTAATCTCCAGTTTGTTTACTTTAGTGTGTGCTGACTATGGTTGCCGTATGACATTTTTCGTATGTACCATAATTTTCCTTTAAATATACCAAAATAGATTTAAATGAAGCATGTTGAAATGTTTTTTGCGGAAGTTTTCGGTTATGGTGGGTTGCTTGTTGAAATGAAAATTGTATAATTTTAAACCTACTCTATTACATTTTTTTGGATCAATGATGGGTATTTGGAGGAGATACTCTTGTTTTTAATGCGTCACCATGTGATATCACAAATAATTATGAGAAAAATAACTTATTCATTCCGATATAATTAATTCGTATTTTAAAAAGCTTTTCTTATCCAAAACTATTCAATTGTATAAAATGCCAAATCGGGGGAAAATGCACCAAGCAGAAAATAAATTGCCAAATTAATTACCAGTGGCAACTGTGCAAGTGATCAGCTGTTTCGAAGGTTGCAAGTTTTGGCAAATTTTGCGTTCTCGTACTTCTGTTGATATTTCGTCTCTTTGAGAGCGAATGCTGCTAAATTCTCAGAACTTTTTCTGCTGGAGAATTTTGTCCTCTCAATACGAGTACACACCTATGATCACAAAACATATGGTTGCAATTTTTGTAAACAAACAAAATTGCATTTTCCGAGTTTTGGTATTTATATGCTTTTTAGCTGCCTGCTATGACTTTATGATAGCGCCAACTAGTTTTCCTGGCGAACATTGAACGTTCACTTTCCATTTTCTTCTATGGAGGCAACATGAATTTCAGTTTGTTTACAAATAAAACATAAACAAAGTCAGCTGGTGTGTCTTCTTCTTCCGGTTTTTGCAAGTAATGGCTAATTTCCTGTTCGTTTACTTTTTTGCTTTTTCATCTCTTTGGGAGAGAATTTTCGCTTACTCTCTTGATTTTGATTGTTGGCTGGTGTTGGCTAATTTTGTTATCGAACGCAACTATTATGTAATAATGTGCAAAGTCTAACAATCTTAAAAATCGCGTTGATTTTTTTTGCCGGCGGTGCTAAGCATTATCTTCCATATAAAGTACTCCATGCTTCTTTTTATCAGCGCGAATTTTAAGACAATTAAAATTTGCACATTATTATGCTAAAACTGAATGCGATTTAAAACTGCATAACCGAAATTTTTTAGAAAATCTTACTAGAAAGTTTGCAGTTTTTGATAAAATTTGCAGAATTCTTAGAATTTTCGTACAGAGTTGAAACTTAGAAACATAATTGTTAAAATATAAGCCATTCTTTAGTAAAAAACTAACAAAAATTTTTAACATGAAAACAATTGCGAATTTTTAAAAAATTAACCGTATACTAAATTTTGTAAGTGACGGTTAATTACCGTTAATAATTAATAAAAAGTTGAATTGAAATGGAAATGTATAAAAAACGTTATTTGCTTATACATAAGTATGTATCCTGCAAAAAAAGGATCCCGAAATCTTTAGGAGTATCTCATTTCTGTAAAAATTTTTTTACGAATCTTCGAAGATTATTTTCATTGCTTTACCAATTTTCTTTAAAATTTCTCTACAGTTCAGAATACCCTGAAAAAATGGTTTACAGGGTACACACATGTGTATGCATGTACATATTTTGTATAAAATTTTAGTTGTATGAAAAAAATTTTCAAGGAAAAGTACCCTACAAGAATTGTGTGATGGAAACTAACACATTCTCATTTACCTT